GGTTTTACGGTCTTTGCCAATCTTCAGTACTCCGTAGGCCTGTCTGGCACCTTCAAAAGTGAGAGTCACACGCCTACGTGACAAAAGTACAAGATTACATTTTACTGAACGTGTCTGTCTATCACCGTTAATTTTAATGTACAGAGTTTTGATACTGAGTTCTCCGGCCCTGGTTTCACATTTCGTGAAGAAACTAAAACGCATCTGAATAAATGTCTTTTAACACAACTCTACTCATAGAAAGGAAACCGAATTATATCCCTAACATTCATCCTTAGATCGATGGGGACGTTACACTAGACATCGTCACGTGCCTTATGCCCAAAGCCCTTCGCTCACTTCTCAACCCTTAGAAAAAAAGAATGAAGATAACTATAATCGATTGTGACAAGTAACCTCCAGTTCAGGAGTAGAGCACCGACCACTAAACTTTTTTGGATCGTATTCATCCTCTCAATAATAATTAGATGGCACAGCAAATCGTAACAATCTTTACTACTTTAGAAATTTATCTAAGCCGAGTTATGACCTATAAGTTAGGAATGACCGTCGCTTCTTCCAGGAAGCCGTTCAGAAGAAGAAGATGCGATCGCAGGAACCTGGCCTTTATTGGCCTGACGTTGCGGATTATCGCTCGAACCCAATACCAGAGACAGTAACACAAAGGCGATGAAGACGTCAGAGATGCCGTATTTATAGGACGCAGTTGCCTCGCTATCCCGTGCCTAACCCAATTAACAGATCTCGCGTTCATCATCTGTAAAGGTTCTTGGCGTGATGATTACTCGGAAATTTGGCTCGCTGTCACTGAACCTGTTGGTCTTCCGCGTCCCGCCCCCCCCTCCCCGCCTACGCAACACCTTAGCACAAAATACGGAGCCGGGCGGTCAATGCAATTATTAGTTAACTGTGGGCCGGAGAACTAAGGATCAAGCAGCTCGCGCCTTACGCGATTGTCAGCCTTTGCGGCAATGCCAGTCTTTTCAAACTTTGAGGTGTGGTCTGGTCTCCTTCCTACTGCTGCCGCATGCTCAGCCATCCGTGTGCGGAGCAGCCTCCCATTTTCTCCGACGTAGTTGGTTTGTCCGCAGCTGCATCAAATGCGGTAAACAACTTCGGACGTTTTTTGCCGTGGCATTGGGTCTTTCAGCCGCATTAGTTGGAGTCTGATAGTTTTTTTCTGGCCGCTGATCAACTCCAACTACGAGTGATGTAAGAAGACTGGTAACAGCTTCAAGGATGCTATTCACGTATGGAGGCGCTCACAAGACCTTCGGAACTGGTGCGGTTCATTCTCTCGCCTTGTTTCTGCTTGTAGATTCCTCCGTCGAACATGAACTACGTCTTCAGGCAAAGATGCAAAAGTTGGCGGCTTACGGCTTGACCGAGATGATTATTTGCCTCATTGTATTTGCTTTGTGGAGGCTGTTTAATGGTTTGAAACACCAGATCCTGGGGGACAGAAGTAAAGAGACACTTAACATCTAAAAGTACTACCGCGTCGTTTGGCAGAAGAGACGCATCCGCAAGTTTTTCAAAATATTGTGTTGACCAGCTGTCAAAAATGTGGGACTCCGAAACAACCACTTTACGAGTCCATAAGTTAGAAACCGACTCCTATCGGCATGATTTAATAACTGGATTTTTAAGGTTGGTCAATATTTAGTCCTTTGATCTACTTCACGCA